CGAGCTCGCTAACGAGCTGGTCCCTTCGCTCGTAGAGTTGGTCCCAATCGATGGTTCCTGCCATTGAGCTACTCTGCTCGTCATCCCCTGCCCATCTCCCTTTGGCCTCTTCCCGATCCTCCCACAGTCCTCCTCCCAACATCATCCCTCACATTCCCTCCTCCCTCTGTGAACGCACTCCCCCATGCAAATCTCTCCTGCTTGATACTCTTCGCCGACTTGAATGATGATCGCCCTCGCCTGCTCGTCGGTGAGCTTCGGGTTGCCGTCCACGGACGTTTGGCAGGCGCTCTGGCCATTATAGAGCAGTTGGTAGATGTACTTGCGGTCCTAGCTGGTGGGGAGGATGGGCGCTTGGATACTCTGTGTAACCATGGGTTCAAAAGAGGGGGAAGAGGGGAACATCAAGGGATGGAGGAATACCTACCGAGTGCGATTCATCTTCCCCCTCCCCCTCACTCGTCCCTCCTTCTCATCATGCCCACTGCCCCCAGCCCCGCAATCCTTCTTGCCCTTGATGGTCAAGTGCACGTCGCCCAACCACCCTTCCCATATCTGTGCGCATCTTCCTCTGCCTGCTGCTTTTGCCGCTGTCTTCTCTTCGGCGTCTTTCTTCAGTTACTCAAGCATTGGCAGGTCGCCTGGCTTCAGTCCCTCCACCTTGATGATTCCTACATCTTTGAATTCGCAGTGGACATCTTCCACGATCTGCCATGCGTCGGAGTACACTGGGACGCCCTTGCCTTTTTTTATTATAACTTGTAATGTACGCCATCTTCTTGGCATCGCTGAAAGACGCGATCATTGGCTTCGCTTCGCAGCTGCCCTTGTCTCCGCTGTCTTTGCTCCTCTTGCCAGTCGCGCGCTTACCCTTCTTTCCCTTACCGTATCCACCCTTCTTGCCGTTACCTTTTCCGCTTGTCTTGCCCGTGCCTTTCTCGCCCGTGTTGCCCTGACCGTCGTGCCCGCCTTGCTTGCCCTGTCCATGTGATTTGTCCTTGGTCCCGAGAGGGCGGCTGGTATTCTTTTCTGGGGTTTCCACGGCTAGTTTGTCGGATGCTGCTGGTGTTGCCTCCGCCTTCTTCTTAAGTTTCTTCCTGGTCTTTTGGATCTTTCTTTTAACTTTGATTGTCTTTGTGATCACTGCTTTATTTTGGCTTATCGGCGGTTCCGTTGTACTCGAGATCCCGAAGAGGCCGTCATCAAAAGAACTGGCGGGAACCATGTCAAAGTCGTCGCCGTCGCAACTGTCGATGGGCACATCTATTTCCTCTTCAACTTCTTCATCGTACACTTCGTCAGACATCGATGCGTCCTCTTCTGCCGCTGCTTGACCCTCTGCCTCTGCGTCACCCTCTTTCTGTGTTTCCTTACCTGCCGCTGCGCCACCTTTTTTTTCTGCTGCTTTCCTGTCTGACAACTCGCCCTCTGCTGCTTTCTTGTCTGACAACTCGCCCTCTGCTGCTTTCTTGTCTGGCAACTCGCTCTCTGCTGCTTCATCTGCTGCGCCTGCAGCTGGCCGCTTCTTCGCTTCGCCATCTGCGGGATAGAAGTGTTTGAGCCACCAGGTGTCTTTGTGTTTGCTCCTGCAGTCACGAATGTGCATGATCGCTGTCCTGACGCGAGCTGCTTGCGTTTTGATCCAATCTTCTTTCTCCTGAAGCTTTTTTTATCAGCTGAGATCGCTCATCGTTGTCATCGGAATCGTAATCGGAATCGTCATCTGGTCGTCACTGTTATCAGCTGATACCGCTCACCGTCGTCATCGGGATCGTCATCATCTATCTCATCGACCTCTGCTCTCCGAACTCTCGTCCCCCTTTCCGTGCCCCATCGCTCCTCCTCTGAATCCATGTGGAATTGCTTCAGCCCCATCACGAGGCGCATCGCTGAGACCCACGTCGACTGGTAGAGTCTTCCGCCCTTTTCTATGGCTCGCAACACGTCGCTCAGAAGGGAGTCGTACTGCCCGCGCCCAGCACGCGGGGGGGGGGATATACGCAGCGAGGAAGAGGGAAATATTACCTCCTCATCCCTCCCCTACCAATATTTCCAATCTCTCCCTCGCCATCCTCCCACCTTCCATCTCTCCAACGCCCTGTCTCATCGACGTTCCCCCCCCTTGGAACTGCCATTCCGGCACCCCTCAAGGAACGTCGTCGTCGTCTTCTCTTGATCGGCGCCTCCTGTTCTCATCGTCGTCCCCTATTCCCATCGTCGTCCTCATTGCGACACCTGCGGCACACCGCCAGAAATCAGAATACTTTAGCAATGAGTTTCGCGATGAGGTGCGATGAGTTGCGATGAGTTTGCAAACTCATCGCACCTCACCGCACCTTCCTATCACCTCCCCATCCTCTCCTCCCTTTCTCGCAAATCCTCCTCCCCCCGTCCTTTCCTCTCAATCGTACCCTCATTCCTCACTCATGTTATCACAGCCGCTCCCTCCCTTTCCCACCTCTTCGGCCATTCATCGGCACCCTCTTCATCGCCATCAGCCCCCGTCCCTCCCTTGCTCTGCCTCCCGCCCTCCCTCTTCCCCTTCACCCCTCTCTATCCATATATATATATATATCACTCTCTTTCTACCTTTCTCTCCCTGTTGTCTGCCTGCCTGCCTGTCTGCCTGCATCATGCCCCCCTCTCTCTCTCTCTTCCTCTTTCTCTGTCTCTATAGTCTCCGCCCCTTCCCACCTGAATCAGCTTTTCGTGCATCACGCTGCTGTCCCGCCCCTTGGACGGGTATCTGATGAAGTCGAGGTCTTTCACATGTGGCAGCAACGCCTGGCGAAGGGAAGCCGCGGGGAGCGGGGGGGGGCGCGAAACTAACAGGGAGGGGAAGGGGGGGACTGGGGCGAGGAACGGGCGGAGAGAAGGAACGGCGAGGAAGTGGCCGAGGGAGGAGGGGAAAGGGGGGAGAGGGAGGAAGGAGGGAACGACTGAGATGAAGGGGAACTGGAGGGGATCAGCCTTCCTCTTGCCCTCCTGCAGTATACTCTTCCCTCTCCTCGAGACCCTTCTTACCGTTGCTGTTTCCTCCTCCTCCTCCTCCTACTGTTCCTCCTCCTCCACCTCCTCCTCCTCCTCCTGCTCCTCCTCCCCCCTCTTCATTCATAGTACTCCCTCTTCTTCCTCTATCCTCGCCCTCCTCATTCCTCTTCGTCGCTCGTCTCGCGCGCCTTCGCGATCGCGGCGGCGCTGGTCTCGGTGGCGGACTCGCTAGCGTCATCCTCTTGCGAGTCAGCCATGGGCCAAAATGGCTGCATGAGCGGCGGGGGGTGCGGGAGAGAAAGAGGGAAACCGGTGGAATGATAGGGGCGGGAGTGGGCAGTTCCTGTGCCTTGTCTCTTGTTTGTATTCCTCCTCCTCCTCCGATCATTACTCATATATTCCCCTTATCATGATACCCCTCCTCCTCCTCCTCCTCCTCCTTCTCCTCCTCCTCCTCCTCCTCCTCCTCCCGCTCCTCCCCTTTTTTGCTCATTTTTGTAAACGTGTAAACGTAACATTTCCCTTTTCCTGATGCCCCTCCTCCTCCTCCTCCTCCTCCTCCTCCTCCTCATCATCATCATCATCATCACCATCATCATCATCATCATCATCATCATCATCATCATCATCATCATCCCCCTCCTTGTCATTTTTTTGTAAACGTATGTGATACCGCATCGGTTACGCAAGAACCCGCGCAAACCGCACTAGTTTGGCATCCAACGCGCGCGTATAGGGCTCCCAGCGATACCAACATGGTGTTGGGAACGCAGGTTGATGTTGGGAACGCAGGGGCATGTCGGGAACGCAGGATGATGTCGGGAACGCAGCGCGAAGCAATATGATGTCGGGAACGCAGGGGGAAGCAGGATGATGTCGGGAACGCAGGGCGAAGCAACATGATGTCGGGAACGCAGGTTGAAGCAACATAATCTCGGGAACGCAGGCTGCGTTCCCAAGGACCTCTGGGTGGGGCGGGGGGGGGACCCCACTCATTTTTTTTGGGGGGGGGAAGCGGGAGGAGGGAGGAGGAAGAGAGGAGGAGGAGTGGCAGCAGGACGGGGAGGAGGAGGAGGAGGAGGCGGAGGAGGAGGAGGAGGAGGACGACGAACGAAGGCGAGGACGAAGACGAGCAAGACGACGAGGACGAATCAAGTTCTCCAAGGAAGACGCAGGAGGACGAGGACGAGGACGCAGAGAGGGTCAGGGAAGGGAGGCAACACACTGCGGAAGATGACGTCCTGGGGCGCGCTCCAACCAGAATTGCGAGGCCGATCTTGGCGTGGCGGGCGCGCTCCAACCAGAATTGCGAAGCCGATCCTGGCGTGGCCGCAAGAACGCCGCTGGAGATCCACAAGGGGTTGAGCATTTTTGTTCTTGATGGCAAGGTGTCAGGCAGACACGTATATAGAGATACACGTATGTCAGGTGTAATATGTTTTGAAATACAGTGTATAGAGATACAGACACGTATCTCTGCTCCTCCTCCCGCCTCCTCCTCCTTCCCTGCTCCTCCTCCCGCCTTTCTCCTGCCATGGTGAATGTATTGCTTGGCCGTCGAGGCCATTTAATTCGGGTCTGTCCAGCAACAGTTTGGCAGGCCAGGGGTGGACACGTTTTAGGGCTAATTCGTATTCTTCGGCATCCAGTTTCACTTGTCTTCTCCCCCTCCCCTCCCTCTTGCCCCTCCTTCTCCCAAATTTGGCCTCTCCGCTCCAAGCGCACAAGCGCTTAAGCGTGAAGCGAACATCGTCTCGATAGGAACCGGCCTTCGCGGCTAAGCGTGATATTAACATGTTGTGGTGACGTTAACCCGGCCGGCCACCTGAGCAAAACAAAAACAACAGAGATATTGACACGTATATCGGCATACATGTACATGTATGCATTGCAATATACATATGTGCAGCAGTATCTGCAAAGCCACGGCGGCGACGACGTACACAGCGTCAACAGTCGGCGGCGGCGGCGCCGAGGGCGCCGACGTCGGCGAGGCGCGCGCCGCGCAGGGCCGTCAGCCGCGGGCCCGTCCCCGCCGCCGCTTCCAGCGAGGCCAGCGCCCCGCCGGGGGATCTCTTTCTTACAGGCAGCGTCGCAGGTCTTAGGCCTCGAGCGACGACGAGAACCGAAGGAAAAAGAGCCACGTATGGATAATCTTTCTGACGAACCTCGCGGAGTTCTTGCACTGGTGCTGGGCCCCCCCTGGCGCGCTCCGCACGCCAGATGGGATGGGGATCCAAGAAATTCGCGCGGAGCTCCGACAGTCCATGTTTATGCATTGCTGTTCGCCTTCTTCGACGACGGAAAGCGGGTCCGTCGTCACTAACATTTGCGCGGTGGTTGCCCTCGTAAGATTGCGCTGAGCGCCCTCGTTATCAAAGTGGCGAGCCGCGCTGGCGGCCCGCGTAAGCGCCCTCGTTTTCAAAGTGGCCCGTTCGGTGAGGTCTTTCTTCGGGCAGTGCCAAGGGTCTAGGCCTCCCAGATGTGATCCTTCGGGCGTTATCGGACGCTTCCTGAAAGGTTTCGGCAGTTTTTGAGACCTGGGCTTGTCCCCATTGGTTGTGCCTCGTCCAGGGCGTTCCAGGGGTACCTGAATTGTCCCGAATGTCAGTTGGAGAGCCGAGTTTTGTTTCGAGAATCGGACGACGGGCGAGTCCGCGTAGATGGGGTCGGAAGATCGCGTCGCATCGCCGATGCATCGGCGACAGGGCTCGATGTGGAACCCCAAGTTCCCCACGCCGTCGTCGACTATGCAGCAATGCATCACCAGTGTCGCCGATGCATCGGCGATGTATCGGCGATACAGCGTGATCTTCCGACCCCATCTATTCGGACCCCATTGCGGAGGCCTCTATTCTCCGGGCAGTGCAAATGGGGGTCACTACTAGGGGGGGGGGCACCACTTGCTCCTGGAAATCGATGTTCCAGGATCGAATCTCGAGGATTTGTTTGGACGTTCGGTGTCATCTTGGAAGGCTCTGGAATTCCCTTGGGGGCTCACTTTCTAAGATAAATGGCGTTTCCTCGGGGAAATGGCTAACGCCCTAGTGCTGACCCCCCTTGAATTTGCCCCTCTTATAAAGAAGAGGGGTGGAGGAGGAGGAGGAGGAAGACGAAGAGGAGGATGACGAGGAGGTGGAAGGAGGATGGAGGCGAGAGGAGGAGGAGGAGGAGGAGGAGGAGGAAGAGGAGGAGGAGTAGGAGGAGCAGAATGAGGGGGGGATGCCCCACCGCTTCTTGGCATCGCTCGCAAGCATCGATAAGCTTGTTAGGCCATCTTGTGAAAAAGACTTAGTTCAGAGCTCCTAGATGGGGGGCCGGATTAGATGGGTTGGAGGATCGCGACGCATCGGCGATGCGGCTCGATGTGGGGCCCAATTTTCTCCACGCCGACGTCGCCGATCATCGCCGACGTCGCCAGCGCATCGCCGATGCCTCGCCGATGCATCGGCGATGCATCGCCGACGTATTGGCGATGCGGCGAGATCCTCGGGCACCATCTTTTCGGACCCCATCTAGGATCTAGGAGGCCTCTAAACATACAGTCGGGCGGCTGAGTAAGAAACCCCCTGCGTCGGGGAGGGGCTCGGTGTTCTTTGCTTGTCTTACAGTCTGTCTCAGATGTTCCGGATTTTTTCTACGGTCGAAGCTTATCCTTTGGAAGAAAGTCAGAGGCCAGCAACACATGCACACGCACGCGGTCAGTTTCCCCTGGAGTGCGTGTCGACGCGGACGTTCGTGCAGGCAAGACCGCGGAGGGCGTACATGTACATATGTCGTTGCTCGCCCAGAGGCTTCCGGGCCTCTGGGGCGAGGAGGAGCTTTCCTCGTCGAGTCGTGAGAAAATCACGACTCGACGAGGATGGAGGAGGAGGGATGGAGGAGGAGGAGGAGGAGGAGGAGGAGGAGGAGGAGGAGCAGGAGGAGGAGGAGGAGGAAAGCCTGTTCCTCAATTTCGGCGAGGCTTCGGGGGGCCCAGGCCGGCGACGCAGCCGAGCAGGGCCGCCCCCTTGCGGACCCCCTCCGCGCGCCGCGGGGGCTGCGCGTGGCAGGCTCTGCGCCTCTGAGGCGCCCGTGCGGTCCGCGTGGTGTGCCGCTCGGGTGGCCTGCGTCGGCCCTCGCGAAAGGTCGCCGCGCCGGCATGCGCAGGAGGAGGAGGAGGAGGAGGAGGAGGAGGAGGAGGAGGAGGGCACTTCGGTGCTGGCTTCGGGGGGCAGTCCTGGGGCCCACCTGCCAGGTCGTTTCGGCTCGAGTCCGACCCCATCTCGACTCTGGCACCTCCTGACGTAGGTCAAATCCTGATTTTGCCCTGGTCCGACGTCCGACTAGATACGGCATAATCCCACTTGATCCGGCTTAATCCCGCGGCATCCGGAGCAATATTGCTTAATCCACGGCCTAATCCGGCGTGGCTGGGGTCTATTCCTCATTGATTCATCCGACGAAGACTTCCCACTCGTTGCCTCCTGGAAGTTCGCCTCAAGTTCGACCCACCTTTGACCCAAGTCGACGGACATTCGACGCTGCATCGACGCGTGAGGGAGCAAGTGGTTTCGGAAGGACCCCAGCAAGAGCATTACATTTCCTCTTGTAGCTCACATGACCTCCAGATGCGCTGCGTCTTCGGGGGACCTTGTCTCTGAAACGTAGGCTTAGGTATGATCGTGCGTTCGATGCGGATTTGCGCAGAATTTGACGCTGATTCGACGCTGGTTCGACTCTGAGTCGACAATCGACGCGGACTCGATGCGAACAGCTGCACGATGGAACAGAGACGGTCCGCGGCGCGATGGGACAGATAATCTTTCCCGATGCTGTAACATCCGAGACGGGCATGTCTCCGTGACCACCGCCTCGGGGGATCGCTCTGCGGTGGCCTCGGCAGGCGGTGGATATGGAGCAGATCCCTCCCCCGAGATCCAGCGTATTGGATATAAAACCAGACGGAGACTGTCCGCCGTTTTTGCGGCCTCCAGAGGCCCCCCGCGGGGCCCAGGGCCGTCAGAAGACGGGGCGGCCATGAGGGGGGGGGTCGATTAGGGGGGGTGGATATCAGGGTGTGGGCCATGATTTTTCCTCCGGCTTCATGGCGCCTCCTCTTATTTCATTACGTCCCTGGCCCCCCCTTTGGCCGCGCACGTGCCGCCCGCCATGATTTGCGCTCCCCCCTCTTGGGCGCCCCCTTCTTGGCCGCCCCCGATGAAGCAGCGGTCCTGGGGAATGGGTCGTTGAAGACGTCACGACATCGGATCCTTTCGGTATCCACCACTTGCCGAGGTCCCCAGAGATCGATCCCCTGGGCGGTGGCGGCAAGAAACATCCCCGCCTCGCACTGCACGTCCGGAGCGCCCCCCGCAAGGTCTAGGAGTGACCCCTTGAGATCTTAGGGGCATCGCTACGGAGGTCAAGGCTCAGGGGGACGCGCCCAGCTTCTGCCCCCAAGCATTTTTTTTTGCACCAACAGAAAAATATGCTCGGCATCGCTCGGACGTGTGCGTTTTTCTCGGGGGTGGACAGAACCCCCAATAGTGACACGTCGATTAGTGAATTGTCCGTTTTCGGTTTTCGAGAGGGCGCCGTGGCCGTTATTTTCCAGGCTTGCGCCCGCCAGGTTTGGGCCCGAAGTCGTTTTCACTAAACCACGTTTTGCTAAAGGGAGGTCTGTCCATCCCCGATTTTCTTCGGCGAGGACCATCGAGGAGCATCCTTGATCATTTGGCGAAAAAGCCATCGTCCGAGCGATGGCGAGTATGTGGTCCCGGCTTCTACGCTGCCCCTCAGCATCGAGCAGCCCTCGGGAGTTGATGTTTCCTGTCGGGCCCGCTCCCAGGGCCATTCAAGGCCGAGGGCGCCAGGAGGCGGCTCGGATTCAGTCGGGCATGTCCCTTCACAGGGGGACTATTCAAAATAGCGTATGTTGTTCTATTTCTCGTCTAAAATCTGCTTGTAGAAGGACATGCCCGACCTAGGGCTCGGAGTGAGAAGTCGGCCCCTGGGAGGGAGCCTTGAGACTGGGGTCGATGCAGCCGGGGGTCAGCCAGAGCGCCGGGTCTTGCAGGATCCTGCGCAGTCATGGTTGCACTGAGCCGGGGGCTGGCGCGCAGGATGCTGCAGGAGCTTGCAGGATCCTGCGGGACTGGCCCGGGTCTGCACTGACCCAGATCAGTCCGTCCCCGAGCCCGCCCCTTCCAGTGCCCCCGCCTGCCGTCGTCGTCGTCGTCGTAGTGCGACGTCGTCGTCGCCGCCACCCCGGGCGCCGCGGCCGCCTCCTCGGCGCGATCCCGCCCTGCGTCTCCTGCCTCGGCGCCGGCGACGCCGCCGTCGCCCCGCGTCGCGCGGCCGCCTCTCTTTGCGCGCACCTCCTCAAGCAGTGGCGAAGCGTCCTGGCTCGCCCGTAGGCCCACCAAAAAATGTTTTAAGAACCTTTTGAGGTCCACGAAATATTCTTAGAACGTGTAGCGCTGTGACTGTTCTGATTTAACACATCGGGCTTCTGTTATCCGTAAGGGTTTCGCCCCCATGCCGCCGGCCGCCCGCACCCCTTTCATAGAATGGGGCTTGCCAGAGCTGTGTTGGGATGTCTGGACGCTGACGTGAAGCAATGTCGGGACTTCACGCGAGGGCCAATATCCATGCACGACGGTTGATAGCTTCGGTGGCGCGAATCTCACGTAATTTGATCTCACGTAATTTGTTCGGGATTATGGCTTCAGGGGCGCGGGTATCGCGTAATCTACAAGGGATTATGGCTTCGGGGGCGCGGCCATTGTATAATGTTCAAGGGTTTGTGGCCTCGGGGGCGCAAGCATCGCGTAATTTACTAGGGATGATGTTTTCGGGGGCGCGAATATTTGTAGTTCGCTAGGGCTTGTAGCCTCGGGGACGCAACTACGGTGTAATTCACGAAGGTTTTAGCCGCGGGGACGCGAACAATGCATTTTTGTAGAGGGGGGATGGATTCGGGGGCGAGAGTATTTAGTCATGTATAAATTTTTGGCCCAAGTTGAAGAGGCTGAAGGCTCCAGGTAACGTTTTGTTTTGCGCGAGTTCTA